AGAATACATACTTTCATTACAATAATGATCATTATTGTGTCTAGTACCTTACTTTTCCATCTATTCCTTCCTTTCCTCCTCGCCAGGAACTGCTTTTCTGTTAACCAGTGAAACGTGCTCGCCCTCATGAGCCCAAATGTTCCAGAGCATCGATTTTTATTTTCTCCAAACAGCAGGTTACCTTCGTTTAGATGCTTGTGCAGTTTGCTAACTTTGATTTGCAGAAATCAGTTTGTACTTTTGCATTTAAATGAGTCCTTCTGTCAAAGTGAGAGATTGGCACATGCTGACTGTGTAGATATCACCTTAAAGTGGCAAAAAAAATATCCGCCTTTTAGTCTTTGTGTAGGTATTTTGTTCTAAACCGTTTTATTCACCATCATCTCCAGAAGTTGACTGACAGCATTTGACAAAATGTTGAGCGACGTCCAGGTTTCGGTGTGGACGTGGACGACAGTTTTGTCCACCTTTTCCTTTTTTCTTTTCGGGCAAATGGTACTCTGTAGTTATCAGTGGTTTTGCTGAATCACACCTCCGCACAGCACCTGCAGCTAATGAATCATTAACCAGGAACAGTAAGCGACTTTCAACATTGAATCCCACATCAAGTGTTTCATAATGCGACTGAATTAATTTGTTGTTTTAGGTTTTTAAAGAAGAAATGTTAAGGCCAGTCCCGAAATGCTTTCTTACTTCAACTAAAGGGGGGGGGGTTACTTGTGAAGAATGCATCACTATTCTTCCAGCGATTGCTTGGATGTTTGTTTCTTCTGTGTGTATACCATTAGCTCTTCAGCTGAGTACTTTGAGGGCTATTCTCCTCCGACCAAGTGTAAGAGCCATCATGACAGTGAAGGCTGTAAGTGGTGGTTGGGAACAGGATAGAATCTAATAATGGACCTGGACCACAGCCTCTTTATCGACATAAATCCCAAATGTGTCATAAAATCATAAATCAAAACCTCCATTATAGGCTTGGGTGGTATCTCTTTTTTCATACTTTGCTGACATTTCATAGGAGTATATTATATTTGTTGGGTGAAGTAACCGCAACTTTCTTGAGGCAGATGGTACACGCAGCTTTGCCCTTGCTGGCGGACAGATTTTTATCAACAGGATTAAATAATAATAATCTAAATTGGGGGGGGGGTTTTCTGTCTTTCACAGCTGGCTGAGCTCAGCTGCCTTGTTCCACCAGTAGAGACTGAGCTCTGTGCACTGCAATCCATGACCTAGGGCTGTGCGATATAACCAAAATCTCATATCCCGATATAAAACATCTCTATATAAACGATATAAATCACAAAAATGTAACATTTTCTGTAAATTCTGTGAATCTCGGGCAGCTCGACTTGTGTAAACTATTTCCAGCTGGGCGTCGTGTACCTGGAGTCAAGTGTTTTAACCGATGCATGAAAC